AAGTGGTGAAAAGCGTTACAGAGAAAAATAAAGAAAAGGGAACTGGAAGGATGGTGGGGCATCTGGTAATTTTAGACAGGGTGGTCAGGGAAGACCTCACTGAGGAGGTTACATCTGAGTAGAGAACCGAAGGAAGCGATGGGAAAGCCATTTGGATTCTTGAAGAAAGAGCGTTCTAAACATGGGGAAGAATAAATGTAATAGGATGTGCCTGGTTTGTTCAAGGAAGGGTGCAGAGGCCATCATGGCAAGAGTGGAGCAGGTGAGGATAGAGTACAGGTCAGATGAGGTCAGGAAGGGCAAAGGACAGATCCCACAGGATTTCTACAAATCCTCCATAAGGATTTGGCTTCACTGTGAGAGTAAAGGGAAGCCTTTGAGAATTTTTGGCAAGGAAGTGGCGTAAACTGATCTACAGCTTAACAAGATGGCTTTCGTGGCTGTGCTGAGAATAGCAGAAGCAGAGAGACCAGCCAAGAGACCATTGCAATAATCCAGTTTAGAGGTGATGGTGAGTTAGACCAGGGTGATAGCAATGGAGGTAATGAGGGGTGATAGAATTCTGGATATATTTTGAGGGTAGAACCAACAGAATTTACTGATGTGGGATATGAAAGAGAAAAGACAAGGATAAATCTGAAGCTGGAAGGATGAAACTGACATTTACAAGATGGGGAAGACTGGAGGTGAAGAAGATTTGGGGGAAAATATCAAGATTTCTGTTTTAATTATGAGAAATTGAGATGTCTACGAAACATCCAAGGGCAAGTGTTGAATAGACAGTTGCATCCACAAGTCAGAAATCTGGAGAGAGGTCAAGGATAGACATAAATTTGGGAACCAACAGCAGAGAGAAGATATTTAAAGTCATGAAACTGAATCAGAACTTAAGGGAATTCGTGTAGAGAGTAACGAGAAGAAGTCTAAGAACTTAGTATGCATGGGGACTCTGGAGAGCAGCAGTCAGGAGGTGAGGAGGAACCAGCAAAGGAGCCTGAAAAGGACCAGATAGGTAGGTGGAAAATCAGGAAGAGTGTGTGAGATTCTGGAAGTCAAGTAAGTAAAGTGTTTCAAAGTGAAGAGAAGATATGACTGACTATGTGGTATGAGATGAGGACTAAAAATTGGCCATTGGATTTAGCAATGTGAGGTTCCTTGGTCATGTGGGTAAAAGCAGATTCAGGAAAGTGGTGGGGAAGAAACCATGAGGATGAAATGCCAAATTCAACAAGAACAACTAAAATCTGTGGAATAAAATTCACAGGGTAGACAAAAAACCAAAAACAAAAATCCTCAATGAAAGAACAATTACTTCAATCAACAACTTTAACAAATATTTAGTGTTTATCATCTATGTGCCAAGTGATATTCAAAAAATTCATTGGCAATTCAGTGATGAAGAAAACAAAGTACCTACACTTGTGGAGCAGATATTCTATTGGGGTAAAGAGACAATAAACAGCTAAACAAATATACAATGTGTCAGTTGCTGATAAGTGCTTTAAAAATCATACAGAACAGAAAGAGGATAGACAGTGGGGGCAAGTGGGGTGGCAAACTACTTTAGATAAGGTGATCATCAAGGCCTCTCAGATTTATTAGTAGAGAGCTCATCTTATATCAGTTAGAATTGGGATCTTTGAAAAGACTTGTTAAAAAAAAAAAATGTATATATATATATATATATATATATATATATACACGGGCCGGGCACGGTGACTCACACCTGTAATCCCAGCACTTTGGGAGGCCGAGGCAGGCAGATCACAAGGTCAGGAGATCGAGACCATCCTGGCTAATACGGTGAAACCCCGTCTCCACTAAAAATACAAATATATATATATATTTCTGATGGCAAGTCTGAGTAAATACAAGAGAAGTGACAATTTAATTATCTTTGGCACAAAGATAATTAGGGAATAGAAACTATTATTTATTTTTATTTAATCTATAAATGATTTTTTTTTTTTTTTTTTTTTTTTTTTTTTTTTTTCGAGGTGGTCATCGATTCACTATAAGTCACCTCCGTTTCCACTCCCCACCTCCTGATACTCTACGCCCCCCCCCCGGTAATTAGAATGTTCACCTGTTAATGTCTCATCCTACTGTATCCACTCCCCCCAAATTTAAAATCTACATAAAATGCATGATTTTCTAGAAAAAAAAGACAAAGTGCCAAAATTGACTGGAGAAATAGAAAACTTGAGAAGAACAAAAGAAAATACAAAAATTGGTTTAAGGCTGACTTTGTTAGATTTATGTTTAAGATCAGGTCTAAAGACCGGCTGGTTTCTCAGGCCAATACTATCAAAGCTTAAAGGTACAGGTAAGTCTTGCCTTATATAACTTGTTCAGAGAAAAGGCAAAGAAGAAAATAGTCCCAATTTATTCTTTATTTTAGGGTGAAAACTGGCCCAGGATATCACACACACAAAACCAAAATAAAACATAGGCCTATCTTCTTTGTGAAAATAAATGTAAAGATCCTAAGTAAATGACCAATAAACCATATGTAGCAGTAGTTCCAGAGAACACACCTCAAGCTCAAGCAGAATGTATCATAGAAGGCCACAATGGTTTGGCATTAGCAAATCCATTAATATAATTTACTACATTAACAAGTTAAAGGAGGGGAACGCCTAGTTAATGAAACTAAATACCCACCACTGATGAAAGCTCTTACAAAAATAAGACAAGAAATTTATTTGACATATTAAAGGATATCTGCCAGAAGCCTAACAGAAAAAGCAGAAGAGATGATGGCATATTAGAAGCTTTTCCACTAAAGTCAGGAACAAGATAAGGATCACCACCAGTCAGCATTAGGCTTCCAAACCTAACCCATGCAATGACAAGAATTAGAAATTAGTTATAAAAATTAGAAACAAAGAAATAGAACTCTATATATCTCATTCTCAAAACGTCTAAGAAAATTAAGTGGGTAAGTATTAGAATGAATGAGGGCTCAGTAAGATGACTGGTTATAAGACTAATAAAAATTAAATGTTTATCTTTAATAAACAACAATGAATTATAAAATACAAGTAATTAAAATCACAAAATACCTTGAAATAATCCAATTAAGCCATGCATAGACTCTACATGAAGAAAAGTAGACTAGGTGCAGTGGCTCATGCCTGTAATCCCAGCACTTTGGGAGGCTGAGGTGGGAGAATCACATTAGCCCAGGAGTTCGGAACCAGCCTGGGCAACAACAAAGTGAGACCCTGTCTCTACAAAAAATAAAACAAATTAGCCAGGCATGGTGGTGCACACCTGTGGTCCCAGCTACATGAGAGGCTGTGGCAGGAGGATCACTTGAGGCTGCAGTGAACTGTGTTCATGCCGTTGTGCTCCAGCCTGGGTGACAGAGTGAGATACTGTCTAAAAAAAAAACAAACAAACAAAACAAACACAGTACAAAGTTTTACTGAGAGTCACAAAGGAATGCCTAAACAATTACAAAAACATGGCCGGTCATGGTTCATGCCTGTAATCGCAGCACTGTAGGCGGCCGAGGCAGGCAGATCACCTGAGGTCAGGAGTAGGAGACCAGCCTGACCAACATTGTGAAGCCCTGTCTCTACTAAAAATAGAAAAATTAGCCAGGCATGGTGGCCCACTCCAGTAATCCCAGCTACTTGGGAGGCTGAGGCATGAGAATCGCTTGAACCTGGGAGGCAGAGGTTGCAGTGAGCTGAGATGGTGCCACTGCACTCCAGCCTGGGCGACAGACGAGACAGAACCCTGTCTCAAAAATAAAATAAAATAAACAAACAAAACAACAATAATTACAGAAACATGTCATGTTCACAGGTGAAAAGAATCAATATTGTAAAGATAATGGATTCCCACAAATTGATGATTAAAAACAGTGCAATACCAATCAAATACCACCACGATTTTAAAATAGAACTTCACAAGAAGATTGCAAAATTCATATGAAAGAGAACATGTATAAGGATAACTAAGGACAATTTTTACAAGAAGAACAAGGGCCCATCAAATATTTAAAATATACAATAAAGCCAGAGTAATGAAAAAGGTGATATTTGTATAAGAACGAAGAAATCAGTGGAAAGAATAGAGCAAGCAATAGACCCATGTTGGTCCTTCCTTCATGGGAATGGAACAGATGGCAAAAATGACATTTTATACCCATGGGAAAGGATAGGCTAGTTAGACAAAAAGTTTTGGGGAAAATGGATACGTTTTTGAGAAAAAATAAAGTTAAGTATCTCACAATATATAAAACTAATCCCAGATGAAATCTTGGTGGTAGAAAGGCTTTCTTAAGCAAAATTTAAAATGCAATAATCAGCTGGGTGCAGTGGTTCATGCCTGTAATCCCAGCACTTTGGGAGGCCGAGGCGGGAGGATTGCTTGAACCCAGGAGTTTGAGACCAGCCTGGGCAACACAGCAAGACTCTACAAAAAAATGCAAAAGTTAGCTGGGCATGGCGGTGTGTGCCTATAGTCCCAGTTACTTGGGAGGCTGAGGTGGGAGAATCTCTTGAACCTAGGAGTTTGAGGATGCAGTGAATTATGATCACACCACTGCACTCCAGCTTGGGTGACAGAGTGAGAGCCTGTCTCCAGAAAGAAAAAATTAAAAAAAAAAAAAATCACAGGAACACAAAACTATCTATTAATATCTATTGATCTATCTATCTAGCATGTGTGTGTAAACAAGCAAAACCTGGAAGGACAGACTTTGTTCTGTACATTTGAAACCAGTAGTAGAGCTTAAATTTGGTGAGGAGGGAAAGAATTGCAGGGGAGTGAAGGTGACATTTTTCTACACAGAGTTTTTGTTTTAATAAGAAGACATTCCAAGATAATTTATATAATTAAATTTTTAAATGACTTCTTTATTATTATATAAATATGTGGCAGGAAAATTAATAGGGAACATTTATTTTCTTTCTTAGACATTTTCAGCATTTTTTCCCCTGATAAATCTGTATTTTTTAGTAGCCAGAAAAAATGCACCAAAGTGGTTTCCATTCTGAAATTATTTTTAATGGTGTTTGGCTCAACCAGCAGAATGATCCAGGCCCATCCGTGTCCTGGCCCAGGGCCCAGGCTCTCTCCCTGGCAGCCAGCGAGGTGTTCTTGCCAGAGCTATCCCAACTGCTGCCTCCCTGGCTGCCAGCATCACCTTGGCTACCTGCAGAGACACTCCTGCCACTGCCTCGTTGGTGGGGAGAGCTCCCTCCTGTTGCAATGCCGATTAATATAAGATGAGTGGAAAAGCAAATGGAGGGCAAATACAGAGGGCCAGGCCGTGCAAAGGAGAAGTCTGTTTCTGCAGCATTGATACCAGGTCCCACGTCAATCTCTCTGAATAATCTGGCCCTCGCAGTTTCTCTTTGGAGAAATTTGAGATACGTTTCCCAGCAGCTGGGTCAAAGGGCCTTTGGATGCAGCGTCTCATTGCATATCCTTTCCCACCTGCACTGGTGTTGCAGACCATGCGGGGCACCTCATCTCTCCCCTACCTCCAGGGGTCTTCTCTGCAGAAGCTTACAGAATGGCTTTAGCTTTCTCTGCCCCCTATGTCCCCTACAACGTATTCTAGTAACTCAGTCCTGGGCCCTCCTGGCTCAAGGGAAGTCCATATGTCCATGAGTGGTTGCAGGAGGGTCGACCCAGCAGACTCACTGAATCACCTTTTCAGATTTGGTGCCTTCTTCCAGGTCTCTTGTCTGGGACCTTCATGCGCCTAAAAGTCTCTTTTGCTGTTTTATTTGAAGCATAGAATTGTAGCCTGAGTCTTTCCTCAGTTTATTTTGTGGTAGATCCTCCTTACCAAGTGTTTATCGTGGTTCCAGTGTATGTGTTGGGGGAGGGGGGTGATTCTAAAGAACACTGCTTGTGAGTCACGCTGCTCTGTTAATAAACCTGTTATGCAGGAAAACCCAGCTGAAAGGCAGATCTGAGTTGCTCACTCCCAGCTGTCAGTAAGTGGATACAATGGCCTTTTCATTGGGTATGAATTTTAGTCTATTATATTTTCTTTAGAAACTAAAATCAGCTGATGAGAAGTTAAAGTAATGCTGAGTTTGTTTCATAAGAAATAAAAACTCGACTCAGGAGGACCGCAGCCATTATTTGTGGCTCACATTCTCTAAATTTCATCTGAAAAGTTGATATTCCAGATTCCTTACATCTCTCCAAGATGCCTAACATCTTATACACACAAAGATGGGGGTTTTTACTCAGCAAGAAAAATATTTATTTTCCTTTTTTTTTTTTGAGGAGAAAAATACTTATCTTTTCAACCTCATTAATTTTTATGATGGGTAAAATTTTTTCATTATATTAGTCAAAAAGACTCTGGACTGAATAAAGTATAGCACCCAAACCATTTAAAATGGCTTCCTGGCTGGGAAGACACTGCAGTCATCTCAGGGAAGTTTCTGGTCTTGGGAAAAACAAATGACCATTCAAGAAGGGAAACTCAAGAATCCAGGCCTTCCGCACTGCTCTTTTCTCTCTGAAAGCTTTTGGAAGTGGAGCCACACTTTATTTACCGAATATGCACTTCTTGTTTCTTGTAACCATGGTGCTCTAGTTGAGTGTGTCTTATGTCAGACTATTGCTGAGCCAATATTTATCATTTTAGAAATTTCCATGAGTCATAAAACAAACCTGCAACCCTCTTGCTGTACCGTCTATGGGTGTTTCTTTCCTAGAGTTGTTTAAAGTAAAAAGAAAAAATGCTGAACCTAGAATCCAACACTTGACATTTATCAGAACACTGATATACTTTCTCCTGCGTGGAGGCTGCTTCTCTGAAATTTCAAAAACCATTCAGCTCACATCCAAGGTGTGCTGCCTGCTGCCTGAGGTGCCCTGCCTGCCCAGGACTCCAAAACCCTCTCCAGAGGGCCAGGTCTGGGCTAAGAAAGGAAGCTTTAGAGGTTTGCAGAAAGGAAGTGACTCACTGGCTCAAGGGGTGGGAGGGAAGGCTTTCCACAGGATATAGAATAAAAATGAGCAAGCAATTCCTTCCACCTCCGGCGTGGAAATTTTTACTAGGGGACCACCTCTTAATGACTGGGCCTGAATTTAGTGACCACTCACCTCCACTCCCACTTCCAAAAAGAAAAGTAAAGAAAAAGAAAAAAAAAAAAAAGCAGGACCAATTGCAAGATGTGACGTGTTTGCCTCATTTACAAGTAAGGATGTTGAAGCTAATGCTGTTTGCTCCTTTTGTGTCAATCAGCTCCCTTTCCACAGACATGGATAGTTGGGAGAACAACATTAAGTCTACGATCTAGAAAACGACAGCAACTTATTGCTTTTGCCATTAAAACAAAACAAAACAAAACAAAACAAAAAAACAACCCTCTAGAGCCCTGTTTTGTCTAGAGCCCAAGGCCTAGAGTTTATAAATCAAAATTTAAGAGCCTGCCTTAGTATTACTAGAACAGGATACTTCACAAATTGCTAAGACTGTGCCAGGCACTCAGTATCTCTTCTGTGGAGTTCAAGCATCACCTTTTAGAGCTCTAAACTAAAGGCGTCAAATTAGTCAACATCTTGAGTTTACAGGTGAACCAGTAAACCAGTATTGGTCCATGGCCTGTTAGGAATTCGGTGAGTGAGCATGACCACCTGAGCTCCACCTCCTGTCAGATCAGTGGTGGCATTAGATTCTCACAGGACTGGGAACCCTATCGTGAACTGCTCATGCAGTGGATCTAGGTTGCACGCTCCTTGTAAGAATCTAATGCCAGATGATCTGACGTGGAACAGTTTCATCCTGAAACCACCGCGCCCCCACCATCCCCCTGCCGCCCGTCTGTGGAAATATTGTCTTCCACAAAACCAGTCCCTGATGCCAAAAATGTTGGGGAACTCTGATCTAGAGTTGAAGACCTCACCGAAGGACTGGTAATGGAAATACTGGAGCAAAACAGTTACAGTAAAAGGCACTCAAATTTCAAATCATGACCATTGGCCTTTGGCTATCTGTTTTTGGTGTTTGTTTTCCTTGAATACAACTCAGAGTTCCCTCATCAGGAAGAGCTGGCTTTCTTTGGCTGAACCATCATTTGATATCCCTCCTCCTACCCCCAAGAAGACAGGAAAATTAGGAAGTAAGCCAGAGCAGATCCCAAAAAAATAAAAAAACAAAAAGGAAACCCATTACATATCTACATCTATCTTATGTATCTTGGTCCATAGGGTCTAATTTTTTTTTGGTAGGAACATCAGGCATGCTCTTCCTCCAAATATCCAACTTTGAATAAACTCTCTAGCCATCTCTTCTATATTCATATTCGCCAACATAAGTGAGGAATGATGTCATTAACAAACACTCACTTCCTTCCTCTGTGGATGCTCCACTCATCAAAGATCCAGTAACATCTCCCTGGTGTGATCTGCTGCACCAGGTAGGATCCTGAGAATTCCCAAGGGAACCTGGGCCAAGTTTATCTTGGCATTTCTGTTTTCACTTGTGATCTCCTTATTCATCTTCATATTCCTGGTAGCTAACACGGCCACAGCTGGCACACAGTAGGACTTCAGGAAACATCTGTCAAATCTAAATGAAAAAATGTTCAATTAGATTTGACCGTGGCTTCCCATTGTGAATATAAATAAGATGTCCACCTGCATGTGTTGGCATCACCTCCACATCCCAGCAGGGCTTCAGCACTGCCCTGACATTACCTGGCAGCCTCTGGGGTGGGCCCTTTACTGGTTCTGAGTTTTTCCTGCCTTGCAGTAGCAGTGGGTGAGGCAGAAGTCTGCAGAGAATAATGGGATGAGCTGGGGAAAAATGAGTCCCAACCAGAGAGCTTGCCACGACCAGCCCATTGCTGTCTGTGACATGCTTTTTCCTCCTCTGACTGTCACTTTCCTCCCTTTCTTAACCACCATGTGAACCAGTCCTTTCACTGTTTCTAAAGTGACTTATTCTGAGCTTTTAGAAAAGCTCTCTTGTTTTTACATGTTAAGGTTTAGAGTGAAATTTCTAGTCTTTTCATTCCTATCCTTCATGATTTTATGACTTGTGATTACACTCAATCCTACATGCTGAAGAGTCTGAACTCATTTCATCTTTAAAAAAATACTCCATTTCCTTGTTTGCCTCTTTCTGAATATTTTGTGGTTCATTTTTATTTCTCCGGAAGTACAACAACCAGATCAGAAGTGTAAAAAGAATGTATCATGGAGGCTGAAGCGGTGGCTCACGCCTGTAATCCCAGCACTTTGGGAGGCCAAGGCAGGTGGACCATGAGGTGAGGAGATAGAAGCCATCCTGGCTAATACAGTGAAACCCCCCCGTCTGTACTAAAAATACAAAAAAATTAGCCGGGCACGGTGGCAGGTGCCTGTAATCCCAGCTGCTTGAGAGGCTGAGGCAGGAGAATCGCTTCTACCCGGGAGGTAGAGGTTGCAGTGAGCCAAGATCGCACCACTGCACTCTAGCCTGGGCAACAGTGAGACTCTGCCTCCAAAAAAAAAAAAAAAAAAAAAAAGAACGTATCATGCTTATGAAAAATTGAAGACAACTTGGAGAGATCCCCAGGATATAGTGCTGAATGAATGAATAAAAACAAGCTGCAGTCCTGCATGTATTGCTCAGACCATTCGTATTTTATAAAATGCTCTATATTATAAAGTTCTGGAAGGTTCCGTGTTGATGAGAGGTGTGATGCCCACTGTGACCTTGATGTGTGTATGTAAGGAACTATGGGACTGTTCATTTATCCTTGCACTGGATTTGCTTTTTAGAACATTTCCCAAAAACTTTCCTGAAATATTTAACGTATTAGATGGGCTTCAGGGCAGTTCATGAGCTCCCTAAGATTATAGGCCAAACTTTGTGAGTAGAAACAAACATCCATCTTTCTAGAGAGAGGGTTTATACTTTTGTGTTTTTTTGTTTTGTTTTGTGTGCGTGTGTTTTTTGTTTTTGAGACGGAGTCTCTCACTGTCACCCAGGCTGGAGTGTAATGGTGTGATCTCGGCTCACTGCAACCTCCACCTCCTGGGTTCACGCGATTTTCCTGCCTCAGCTTCCCAAGTAGCTGGGATTACAAGTGCACACTACCACATCAAGCTAATTTTTTGTATTTTTAGTAGAGACAGGGTTTCACTATATTGGCCAGGCTGGTCTCGAACTCCTGACCTCGTGATCTATCCACCTTGGTCTCCCAAAGTGCTGGGATTACAGGCATGAGCCACCACGCCCAGAGGATTTATAAGAATCCCAGGCCGGGCCGGGCGCGGTGGCTCAAGCCTGTAATCCCAGCACTTTGGGAGGCCGAGACGGGTGGATCACAAGGTCAGGAGATCGAGACCATCCTGGATAACACGGTGAAACCCCGTCTCTACTAAGAAATACAAAAAACTAGCCGGGCGAGGTGGCGGGCGCCTGTAGTCCCAGCTACTCGGGAGGCTGAGGCCGGAGAATGGCGTGAACCCGGGAGGCGGAGCTTGCAGTGAGCTGAGATCGGGCCACTGCACTCCAGCCTGAGCTACAGAGCGAGACTCCATCTCAAAAAAAAAAAAAAAAAAAAGAATCCCAGGCCGGGAGCGGTGGCTCATGCCTGTAATCCCAGCACTTTGGGAGGCCAAGGCAGGCGGGTCACGAGGTCAGGAGTTTGAGACCAGCCTCGCCAGCACAGCGAAACTGCATCTCTACTAAAAAATACAAAAACTTAGCCAGGTGTGGTGGTGTGTGCCTGTAATCCCAGCTGCTTGGGAGGCTGAGGCAGGAGAATTGCTTGAGCCCAGGAGGCAGAGGTTGCAGTGAGCCGAGATTGCGCCACTGCACTCCAGCCTGGGTAACAGAGTGAGAGTCTGTCTCAAACAAACAAACAAACAAAGAATCCCAAAGGGAATATATATGGCCCAAGAGGGACTAAGAACCACTGGTTGAGATAATTGTACCACTTTATACTCTGTTTCTCATGGTTTAACTCAAGAAGCATGCTATTATCTGAAAAACATACATAATTGGTCAATCTTTAATGTTATAAAATAGTGGCATATGACTTTCACTCTACCATAAAGACTAATAATCAATAATGTTACCATGTGGCACTGCATCCTTCCCACGAATATACTTAAATATATTTAGCCTTTTCCTAAAATAGATGCCAGGGCCCTTGGGGCTGTCTGATCCATCAGCACCAGGCTATGGGCAGTAAGGAATGTTCAGAATGTATTTTCTACAGCTTCTATTTCTTTTGCTTTGCCAATTAACCTCATCTGTGGTGGTAAGCAAGTAACAAGACATACCTCATTTCTCTTGTTCAGCCTCACTCACAGGTGCTGTGTCATGTGGCCTGATGGTAAAGGGCTTGGGATCAGATCCTGTACTCCTCTGGGCTCCCAAGGAAAGTCTCTTCACCTTACCCCATCTGTGGGATGAGGCCAGTGATAATATCTACCTGTGGCAGTCACTACTGGTTATCTCCCAATATCCATTTTCCCCTTCTTCCTTAGTAAAGGAACAACAATGTCTTAGCCGAGCACACTGTGAGTTAGAGAACAGACCGTGTTTCCCAGCTTCCCTTGCAGCCATATGACTAAGTTCTGGTCAATGAGACAAAAGGAGAAATCCTATATAGTACAGGGTATGTGGTCTAGAAATATGGTATAAAAGTTTCTATGGTATAAGTTTCTGGAACCCTCCCTTCCTCCCTCCCTCCCTTCCTTCCTCTGGAACCGTTCCTTCCTTCCTTCCCTCCCTCCCTTCCCTCCTTCCCTCCCTCCCTCCCTCCCTCCCTTCCTCTGGAACCCTTCCCTCCCTCCCTCCCTCTGGAACCCTTCCCTCCCTCTCTCCCTCCCTCCCTCCCTCCCTTCCTCTGGAACCCTTCCCTCCCTTCCTCCCTTCTTTCCTTCCTTCCTTCCTTCCCTCCCTTCCTCTGGAACCCTTCTCTCTCTTTCTCTCTCTCTCTTTCTGACAGAGTCTCATTCTGTTGCCTCCCAGGTCAAGCAATTCTCCTGCCTCAGCCTCCTGAGTAGGTAGGACTACAGGCACATGCCTGGCTTATTTTTGTATTTTTACTAGAGACAGAGTTTCACCATGTTGGACAGGCTGGTCTTGAACTTCTGACCTCAGGTGATCTACCCTCCTCAGCCTCCCAAAGTGCTGGAATGATAGGTGTGAGTCATCCCCCGCCCCCCGCCAGTTTCTGGGATCTTTCTATAAAAAAGGGGATGCTTATGCTGGGCAACATAAGGAGATCTTGTTTCCACACACAAAACATTTAAAAATTAGCTGGGTGCAGTGGTGTGCGCCTGTGGTCCTAGCTACTTGAGAGGCTGAGGTGGGAAGATTGCTTGAGCCTGGGAGGTTGAGGCTGAAGTGAGCTGTGATCGTGCCACTGTACTCCAGCCTGGGTGATAGAGTGAGACTCTGCCTCAAAAAAAAAAAAAAAAAAAAGGATGCCCTTCTTTTTTTTTCCTCCTTCTTACTGCCTAAAATGTGGAAGTAATAGCTGGTATTCTAGCAGTCATCCTGGACTATGAGGTAACCTTAGGAAGACAATCTATGCACAACAAAGCAACAGTATAGAAATTGGGGCCAGGTGTGGTGGCTCATGCCTGTAATTCCAGTGTTTTGGGAGGCGGAGGCAAGAGGATCATTTGAGTCCAAGAGTTCCAGACCTGGCTGGGCAACGTGGCAAGACTCTGTCTTTACATACACAGACACACACACACACACAAATTAGCTGGGCGTGGTGGTGGTGTGAGCTTGTGGTCCCAGCTACTCAAGATTGGAGGACTGCTTGAGCCCAGGAGGTCAAGGCTGCAATGAGCCGTGTTTGTACAACTGCACTCCAGCCTGGGTGAGAGTGAGACCCCGGCTAAGAAAAAAAAAAAGAAAGAAATAAATTGGGTTTTTACCACCACCAAGTCAATATAACAAATCTGAATTGTTTGCCTCTGTACTTCTTTTATGTGTGAAGTAAACCATGTACACATACACACAAATGTAATAAAGCCTTAAGCCACTATTTTGTTTTTGTTACTTATAACCAAACACAACCCTTACTAAACTACCACTTCTTTGATTCATTTAAACTACTGCTGCTACTGCTTCTTTTTTTTTTTTTTTTTTTTTTTTTTGAGATGGAGTCTCGCTCTGTCGTCCAGGCTAGAGTGCAGTGGCACGATCTCCACTCACCGCAAGCTCCACTTCCCAGGTTCACACCATTCTCCTGCCTCAGCCTTCTGAGTAGCTGGCACTACAGGCACCCGCCACCACGCCCGGCTAATTTTTGGTATTTTTAGTAGACACGGGGTTTCACCATGTTAGCCAGGATGGTCTCGATCTCTTGACCTCGTGATCCGCCTGCCTCGGCCTCCCAAAGTGCTGGGATTACAGGCGTGAGCCACCGTGCCTGGTCTTTTTTTTTAATTGAGAAAGAGTCTTGCTCTGTCACCCTAGAGTGCAGTGGTGTGATCTAGGCTCACGGCAACCTCCGCCTCCGTGGATCAAGCGATTCTCCTGCCTCAGCCTCCTAAGTAGCTGGGATTACAGGCGCCCACCACCGCGCCCAGCTAATTTTTGTATTTTTAGTAGAGACGGGGTTTCACCACGTTAGTCAGGCTGATCCCGAACTCCTGACCTTAGGTGATCCGCCCATCTCGGCCTCCCAAAGTGCTGGGATTACAGGTGTGAGCCACCGTGCCCGGCAAAATGCACAAATCTTAAGTTTTGACAAATGTATATACCCATGTAACTTGTTGTTGTTGTTGTTGAGATAGTCTCACTCTGCTGCCCAGGCTGCAGTGCAGTGGTGTGATCTTGGCTCACTGCACCCTCTGCCTCCTATATACCCATGTAACTTGAATCCCTAACAAATTAACAAAAAAAAATGACGATCACCCCTGAAAATTCTGTCAGGCCCCTCTGTAGTCAATCTCCACTCCCACCCTATTTAACAACTATTCTGATTTTTTTCACTATAGTTTTGCCTGTTCTAAAATTCCTCAAACTTTTAATAAACTGTCAGTGGAGACTAAGCAGATATTCTCAACTACTGTAGGAGGGATATAAATTGGTATATCCTTTTTAGAAGGCTATCTGGCAGTATGTAATTAGTAAAATAAAATTTATGCATTCCTTTTGACTTAGTAATTTTATGGGAGGAATTTTCTGAGAGGTCTACCAGTTCATGTATGCAAAGAAGGCAGTCCCAAAGCTGTTCACTGAAGCATTGTTTGTGAAAGCAAAGGATTGGAAATAACCTAAATGCCCATCAGTAGGGGAAAAGTTAAATGAATGAACAGTCACACCTTGCAGCAATTATAAGAAATGATTTACTGATATGGCAAGATTGCCAGGACAATCATTAAATGCAGAAAAGCAAGTTACAAGATGCTACATACCCAACATAAAACCATTACACAGAACACCAATAAAAACAAAACAAAACACAAAACATATGCCCAAGGTGTATTTCTGTTAGTCCATAACCCAAACTGACATCAGTGGTTACCTCTAAGGAGAGGACTAGGATTATGGGAAAGGAGAGAAGGTGCTCAACGGGTTTTTCCTTTGTTGTATTGTTTGAATCTTTTACAATAAAACTACACACGTGTCTTAGAGGATGAAGTTATTTTTAAAAAAAGACTACTGATGGCCGGGCATGGTGGCGGGTGCCTATAATCCCAGCACTATGGGAGGCCGAGGCGGGCGGATCACCTGAGGTTAGGAGCTTGAGACCAGAATGGCCAACATGGTGAAACCCCGTCTCTACTAAAAGTACAAAATTAGTTGGGCATGCTGACGGGTGCCTGTAATCCCAGCTACTCGGGAGGCTGACGCAAGAGAATCACTTGAACTCAGGAGGTGGAGGTGGCAGTGAGCTGATATCCTGTCACTGCACTCCAGCCTGGGTGACACAGCAAGACTCCATTTAAAAAAAAAAAAGACTACTGACAAAATACGGATAGGAGATAGGAAATAGGTGAATTTGTGGAGAGGGAGGAGAGAAATTAAAGTTTTTTTCTATGCTATATATTGACAGTGTTATGTCTCCCAGCAAAGGAGCTTTCCTCAGCCTATCTATTAATACACATCTCTCTTCAGGCTCCTTGTTAATGTATCATTTCTTCTTCTCTGCCACTTACATCAATATATTAAATGGTTTTAAATGAAAGTGCCTATATGTTCACAGATTAAGTATGCAAAATGTTTTCTAAATGAAAAAGGAAATATACCAATCTCATATTTAAGGAGAGACCTTATGTGTCTTAGTCTGTTCGGACTGCTATAGCAGAATACCATAAACTGGGTGGCTTACAGACAACAGCAATTTACTTCTCATAGTTCTGGAGGCTGTGAAGTCCAAGATCAAGTCGCCAGCAGTGTATGGTGAGAGCCCACTTCCTGGTTCATAGATAAACCTTTTTGCTGTGTTCTCACAATGGTGGAAGCAGCAAGCAGCAGCCTAGGACCTCTTTTTTTTTTGAGATGGTCTCGCTATGTCGCTCAGGATGTAGTGCAGTGGTGCAATCTCAGCTCACTGCAACCTCTGCCTCCCGGGTTCAAGCAATTCCCTGCCTCAGCCTCCTGAGTAGCTGGGATTACAGGTGCCCGCCACCACTCCTGGCTAATTTTTGTACTTTTAGTACAGATGGGGTTTCACCATCTGGGCCAGGCTGGTTTTGAACTCCTGACCTCGTGATCCACCTGCCTTGGCCCTCCAAAGTGCTGGGATTACAGGTGTGAGCCACCGCACCCGGCCTAGGACCTCTTTTATAAGGGCACTAATCCTATTAAAGGGGGCTCTGCCCTCATGGCCTAATCATGGTCCAAAGGCCCCAACTTCAAATATCTTTACATTGAGGATTACCTTTCAACTTCTGGAGGGCATAAATATTTATTAGTTTATAGCATTGTATGAAAACTCTTTTCCTCTTTGTGGAGAGGAGGAATGTCACTATTTAGAAAACCTGGGTGTTAAATGCAGAGGCTGAAGTTCAGTGGGACCTAAAAAAAATGGGGGCTCATCTTAAGTTGTGATAAACTGATACAGAAGCTTGATAAATTGTAAAACATCTTCAGATACTTGTTCACTTACTGAACATTTATTAAACACCTACTATGTATCAGGGGCTATGCCAAGTTCACACATATGCATCTTAAATATCCCATGACCTCAATGAACTCCCAGCATAATCTGGTAGTAATGGCAAATGCACATAAGTAATTACAGAGCTACAGTAATTGTAGGGAAAAACCATAAAACCTCCAAACTCAAAGTATAGCATCTGCATTTCCTGGGGTCATCTAAGACTCCACTCCTCAACTCTGGAATCTGCATTTTAACAAGGATCCCAGGTGACTTGGATCTTTATTAAGATTTGAGAAGTGGCCATGCTCAGTGTCTCCCCCCTGTAATTTCAGCACTTTGGGAGGCCAAGGTGGCCGAATCACCCGAGGTTGGGAGTTCCAGACCAGCCTGACCAACACGGAGAAACCCCATCTCTACTAAAAATACAAAATTAGCTGGGTGTGGTGGCACATGCCTGTAATCCCGGCTACTGAGGAAGCTGAGGCAGGGGAATTGCTTGAATCCCAGAGGCGGAGGTTGCAGCGAGCCGAGATCGCACCATACCACTCCAGTCTAGGCAACAAGAGCGAAACTCAGTCTCAAAACAAAAAAAAGGTTTGAGAAGTGATGAACTCTGGGATTATAGAAGGAACTACGGGGGTGAAGGAGTTGGAAGGGGTGGGGGGCAGGAAGTTAAAAAAAAAAAGCAGCAACTACTATTGATCCTTGGGAAGTGGTAAGAGAAGTCTTCAGATGTGAGGGGTGATAGGAACATTCCAGGCTGAAAAATAAGCAGGCCCATGATCCAGGTAGTTAGAACTAGTAAGAGGTGTTCTGTTATGAGAAGTTTCGTCTGGGAGGGGCAGTGGGCACTTAGGAAAATATGGGAGATAGGGCAGAAAAAGTAGGCTGAGGCCAGAGGCAGAAGGGCCACACTGACCCGCTGAGGGTTATGGAGGAAGCCACAGAAAATTTTAAGCAAGAATGTGACAAGACCAGTCTTATGTTTGGACATAACTCTGGTGGCAGAGTGGAGGACGAAATGCAGGAGAGGCTGGAGCAGGCAGGCAGGCATGTATCCTTAAATGAGCACCACTCACTTTTGGACTAGAAAGGAAGTCTGAACATTAAGAAGTGTAGAGGCCACAGGGTCCTATGCAAACAGAAAAGCAGAGGGTTCCAGCTGCAGTAGGATACAGGGGGGTTCCTTCTCAGCTCAGGAGTGTGGCCTTGGACTGGCATCTTCAGCATCACCTAGGAGTTGTTAGAAACGCACATTCTCAGGCATCACCTTAGAAGTAGTGAGGGAACCTTGGGGATGGGGCACACAAATCTAGCTTTGAACAATTTTTCCAGGTGATTCTGATGCATGCTAAAGTTAAGAACCACTGCTCTAGCCCGCCAAAAATCATGTCTCAGGTGGTAAAGGCTTAAAACTGCACAACTTGCTTACTGTCCTTTTTAAAAAGAACGAGGGTAATAAGAAATGGGTTTCTATGTTGAGCGGGGCAGAACAAAAGCCACATACAACCTAGATTTTATATAGTGCCAGAAAAAAATACTGACCATCGTGTCCAAAAGCCTCATATTTGGAGAATTAAAATAGTTTTGGTCGAGGCCATGATGTTCTCGGTAACCTAAATTAATTTATAAAATTCTCTCTGTTCCCTTTATTTCCCACAAAAACACCCGCAGCAAAAACGCTGGGATTCATCTCGGCCCTCTGAAAACCGTGTTTCCGACGCAACCGCCTATTAGAAAAACACAATTCCAAATTAAAAACCCGGAGAACTGAGCGGCGGGGCTGGCGCCACCGTCCCGGGACAGCGCGGCCTTTCCCAGCCACACCCCTGCGCGCCGCCGGCCTCCTTCCCCGGCAGTTCCCAAAGATAAATAAATCTTCCTTGTTTTTCCAGACCTGAAATTAACGGTGACTCACAGAGCACTCTGCATGGCCACGGTCGCCTCGGGAAGGAGGAAAAATGTGCAGATTTTTTTCCCCTCACGCGAGGGCAGGACAAGCCAGGCTGGGCCAATCAGGGGAGGGCGGCGGGAATCGCACCAAAGTAGGTAAAAAATGCGGGAGGCGTCCCCGCCGCCGCGGCCCGCGACTCCGCTCCCGCGGGTCCTCCCCCAGCGCGTCCCCCGTCCTCGGGCCCTACCCCCCACACCCCCAACATCCCTCTCCTTCCACCACTCTGTGTCCCTGTCTCTCACCTCTCCCTTATCCCGCTCCTCCCCCAACTCTGTCCACTCCCTCACCTCTCCCCTTCCCTCCCCTATCACCCCCCAACTAAGTGCCCCTCGCCCCCTCCCCCCACATCCCCCGCCTCTCCCCACTCTTTCCCCTCTCCCTCACCTCTTCCCTCCCCTCTCCATCCCCTTCTCCCCCAACTATGTGCCCTTCGCCCCTCCCCGCCAAATCCCCCTGCTTCCCACGCTCTGTCCCCCTCTCCCCCAGCTCTCCCCTCCTTTTCCCCTCCCCGGCCCCGCCCCGCCCCCAGCGGCAAGAACACCTGGCCAGGTGGCTGCCTCCCCCCGCGCGAGCCTTGCCTGCACAGTGGGTGGAGCGTCAGGGAGCCCCGCCCGAGGAGGCGAAGAAAGGCCACCCCTCCCCCATCATCTTTTGCCCGCCCCTCGCCAGCAGGAGCCAGCCTAGTCAGCCTTCTAGTCCCCTGCAGACGAGAAAGCACGTACCCTCATCCTTAAACACTTTCTAGTGAGGGAGACCCCGCCCCGCAGCCTAAACCAGGTGAGGGAAGTTCCCCTCCGGTAGTCTGGATAGCCGCCGGGCGGGGCGTTGCCGGACCGGCTGGTTGCGTAGCAACGGCGGGAGGTGCGTGACGTGCGCAGCCGCGTTCCGTCCCGAGGCGCGCCCGCCCCGGGGTAGGCTCGCGCCGCCGCGTCAGCTCAGCGCTCGGTCCCGCGGCTGTGAAGAGGACGCTCTGCAGACTCGCTGCCCGCCAGCTCCCAACCCCGCGTCCCTGCGACCGCCGCGGCGAAGATGGTGAGTGGGAGGGAGGCCGAGGCGTGGGCTGAGGCGGCCGGGAGCTGCTGGTCTCGGGGGCGCCGCGGAGTCGGGGATAAGGGGGTGAGCCGTGCCCCAGGCCCGGGAGGGACCCGGCCCGGCTGCAGTCTCCGGGCCGCGCGGTTGTGGGGCGGGGGGTCTCCGGGCCTTCGTCGCCAGCCATCCTGGCTGGGCCCTGGCGCCCCTGGGCGGATCCGCGGCCGCTGCGCAGCTCCCAGCTGGGGCGAGGCCGCCGCCCTGAGCGTGGCCTCTGCGGTGCCTCCAGACCGGGCCTTGCAACAACTGGCCGGGGTCGAGCGCCCCCACCCGCTCTGTGAAATCCATCCGGGGGGCTGCACACCGCGGCCGAGGAGTGGGAGGCGGGGGGCGTCGGAATCCGGCGACCGTCCTTGTTGGCGTGGGTTTAGTTCCCCAGAGCTAGCGCTGAGGCGCTCGGCGACTTGTGCGCGTTCCAGCCCTTGAGGTCTGTCCATGTCAATAAGGAAGCTAAAGCTTTTATGGAACAGCCCTAGAGCACGGAATGATCGCTAACGAGCAGGATACTGGCATGATTTAGAACGGGGTGGCCTTGCAGCCTCTTTGTTTTTTTTTTTCTTTTTATCTGGCAATCGGCTTCCAGCAGCACTCTGGTCGTGCTTGTCAAGCTTGGCAGGGTCTCTTTTAACCCTTCCCTGCCCGATCTGTCCGTGTATGGTTAGAATTTTTTTTCTGACCTGTAGACAGTTGGACTCTGCCAGAACTTGGTGCGCAGGGTGTGGGCATGATGCTGGGATGCTGATACAAGCAAATTTAAGAGCTTTAAAAACCATTAAAATACTAGAGTCACCAAAAAGTAAACAGGTGCTCATTAGTATATTCTATATGATGGACATTTTGCTTAATTTACATATTTTCCCCCTTTACATTGTGTCCCTCTAATTAGCTATTTAAAAACAAACGTATTCTCAACTGAACTATCAGATGGAACATTTTGTCATTTTCTTTAGTCTGCACACACTGTTACCATTTTTGGTCAATGATTTGCAGGCATAGCCTTACCAGACTTTGCTAGAAATATTACATTCTAATTGCATCTGTCTGTCTAGAAGCAGTTGGTACCAGCTTATCTGCATACAAACTGTTTTCACTGTGTAACAGTTTTGGTTTTCTTAAGTTATTGCAACTTTCATGAAATGCAGGCGGCCACTTAGTAAAAAGAAAAGATTAACCGGTACTTTCTTGATGACTGTAGGTATGTATGTAATAGGGATTTGATACGGTTCAGTTTTTGGTTTTTCTTTGGTTTAATGCTGTAAGCTACAAAGTATCAGCATCTTAAGTCTAATATTTAATTATTAAAAATTTAATAATATTTTAAATGTATATGCTATTTTATACTAAAAGACTTAATCTAGGGGCTTATGAGTTACGGTACGTTTAAGACCAGTCACTCTGAAAGTGATTTGAAGCTGACTGGCGTCTGCTCTAGAGACTTCTGATTTGACATTATACTTTTTTATTGAGTGTCTAATACAGACTTTATTTTTCTGTTTGAAAATAAGAGACCAAACATTTTACGTTTAGTTAAGTGCTTAAGTTAAATGCTTAAAGTGTAACTAAATGCAAGGAAGGAGGAGTCTGTTATATTTGCTTGTTCTTGTGACAAGTGGGAGAAACAAGAATTAGAGATGAGCGGTTTCCAAATACGTTTCAAAATTGTTGGCTTTAGGGAGATCAAGAAGTTACCTTTGGAGTTCAGAATATAGACCCCCCATTTTTAAAGGTTATTTTTGTTTTTAGCCTTAGGAGCGCAGGAGCATCTTTGTTTAGTCCAGTGATTAGAGAATATTGTGGGTATTATCCCGGAGTCTAGCACTTTTCTTTTAGCTCTTTTGGTTGGATGCTTGGTTCCAAGTTTCTTTTAAGATTAAATTTTAACTACCGATGGGTTTGTTCTAAACTAGCAGAATCACTTCCTTGTACTCACCAAGTCTTCGAGAAGCACCTGAAATAAAGCGGTTTGAAAACAACTGGGCACTTGAGGATGAGATAAGATGTTTTCAGATGTCTCACTTTATAGTGTTAACCCCCTCCCCCAAGAAAAAACAAACAATGTCTGCGTCCACATGAACCACAATTACAGACCCCAAACAAAACTGTGTGTGTGTCCGTATTGGGTGTGCCAGCCTCCTTGTATAGAGATTGTTTAGTAGCCCACCATCAAGTTACTAGAGTTATTTGCTCAGTAGTTCTACTGGATATGGATTGAGACATCACACCTAGACTTGCCTAGCTCCTCTTGTGACCAGAGTTTCTTTACAGCATAGATAGATATAGCTTCTTGGAAAGTAAGAGTGTGTAGTCTTGCCCCCAAAGTAGAGTTAAAAGGTTTGCACAGTAATCTAACCCTTAACATTATCCTAATATGAACTGTGGTCTCAGACTGAACTAACTGGCACAGTATTCAAGTATTCTAATACTTGGTGATTAGCAAAAACACTACAACCCAGTGAAATAGGTTGGGCATGTATTCACATGCCTATTTAACATATGAGAAAGCAGATTGTAAATGATTAATTGACTTGAGACAAATCACCTTTTCCAACTCCAAGCTTTAAAATAATAATTTTGAAACATTTTAAGCAGAAAAGTACACAGAATCACAGATCCTTTTGTGCAGGAAAAAAAAGGGCTGTCTTATTGCCGTATTTCAGGTTTTTATGTTGTCATTACAGCTAAATATGCATCGTCTTCCTCATCCTATTCTCTTCCCTCCCCAGAGTTATAACTATTCCTGCGTCAAAGACATAATAATATCCTGGTTGGTTAAGGAGATGATTTTATTCAGGCTGTTGCAATTAGGAGAGCATTCCTGATTGCCTTATCTGGAAATATGCAACAGGCCAGTTCTTTGCAGTTACCTGTTTCCCAGAATACAAAACACATGGGGTGGATTAACCATCACTGCTTTCCGAGAACACAGGGCTCAGGTAAAGTTCACAGTAGTCACCTGAAATTGATATTCATTGGTAGTTCCATACTTTTAGCTACTTAATCATATTATTGCCTTGATGTGCTTTTAAAACTTATGTAAATACTACGCTTCATGTATGCTTTTGCAGCTCTGTGAGAAAAAATTAAACTATGGGGTGGGTTTTTATTTTTTATTTTTATTTTTTTGCAAGGGGGGCCAGCTTTTGGGTGTATTTGTAGCTTTGATTCTTCAACTGCTGAATTGTGTTCTTTTGTATGACTATGCAAGTTTATCCATTCCCCTGTTGGTAGACATTTGGCTGTTTCCTAATTTTTTGCCTTTTTTTTTGGTCTGTTTTAACTTTTTATAATAGGCAATTTCCATGTCATATATTACTATATATTACTTCTGTAGCCCCAGTGTGTATCTCTCCATGGTGTATATCTAGAAGCGGAAGCTCTGGGTTGGAGCGTACATATTTTCTACTCTACTACTGGTTCGTTCTGGTTGTATTTCATCATCAACAGCTTGTTTCTACATTGCCTTTCACCACTTAATAAGAGACTTGAAACCTTTGCCAGTCTGATGGTTGTGAAATGGTTTCTCATTATTTTATTTTGCATTTCTCTGATTACTAGTGAGCTGACTCTTTTTGTATGTTTATTGCATCTTAGGTTTTTACATGCATGTTGCATCCTGCAAACGTGACCATTCTGTAAATACTTATCATCTTCACCTAAGCTTATTTACAGAGCCATAAAGTAAATATAACAGTAAGAAAAAAAAAAAAAATCAGCTGGATACAGTGTCCCATACCTGTCATCCCAGCACTTTGGGAGGCTGAGGCGGGAGGATTGCTTGAAGCCAGGAGTTGGAGACCAGCCTGGGCAATATAGTGAGACCTCATCTGAACAAAAAAATTAAATAAAAATTAGCTGAGCATGCTGGCATGTGCCTATACTTCTAGCTGTTTGGGAGGCTGAGGTGGGAGGATTGCTTGATCCTGAGTGTGAGAGGCTTCCATGAGCTATGATTGCACTACTGCACTCCAGCCTGGCCACAGAGGGAGACCCTGTCTCAAAAAACAACAAGAGCATGATTATCAATACCAGAACCTCATACTGAGTACTAATATTTCTCTTTTCTGGGACATAAATTTCTTTCCAGGCCCCTTAACCAGCTAATTACCAGAAGTTCAATACTCTCTCTTAATTCTAGCCACCCGCCATTTTTAGGCCCCTGGTAGTGGTAGAATGTAGAGTGACTTAGGGCAGAGTTCTTTCCTTCTTTGCTGAGGGCTGTGGAGA